GGGGGGGGGGCGAATTTCGAGTGTGCCAAATTCCGACGTTCCGTAATTTTTTAACGTTGCCGTCATAATCGTAATTATAACACTACCAATACGGTCATACAATTATACTGTGTTATACGAAATATACAATTGTAACATAATTATACCTTAATTGCGATTTAAGATAATTACAACGTTATTGCAATTGCAGTGTTATTGCAGTGTAATCTACTCTTTCCAAACCAGGAAACCGAAAAATTAGTGCCAACATCGTTCGGGCGAGAAATAGCATTATTGGTGCGAATTACTCTACCAATCTAAAACGCCACGGCATTCACGTGTGACAAATTACTGAACTGTGTTCGAAATTATGACCGGCCCTTTATTAATTTTGACCGAGCTCTGCGGACGATGGCGCTAAAACGCTCGTCCATTCTGCGAAGCGCGGTTGATTGTAATCTTTATAAATAGACGCGTATTAAGCACGAGCGGCTCTCGTGCCAGTATTAAACAATGCGGATCGCTTGTATGGCGGCTCGATACCATTAGTCGAACCCTCGGAACCCGCGATCTGCACGAGGACGACGAGGAAAACCTGGAGATTCACGCGCGTTGGAGATGCGCGCGACCCGGGCGAAAAGCGCAGGATGAAACCGGCAGGAGAGCCCGTCTAACGTCAGAAAATCCAAAATCGTATTATAAATAGAGCTGCCGGAGGGCAGGGAATTACAGAACGGAAGCTATTCATAGCGTTGCAGCCATTTTCCGGGACTCCGTCGTGTTAAACTTAGACGGCCCCGCGCGACCCGGCGAATCTCAGATCCGCGTCGACAGAAAAATGTATTTGGCCGACGATCCGAGTCGGGCCTTGAGCAGGACACAGGCAGAAGATACGTTCAGAGATTTTATTTACATCGGAGAATGTTGTCCGAAGGAAGGAGAGCTTGCGTTCGAAACGCGGCAAGTTTATTTTTAACTTAAATTGCCAAGATGTCCGTAATATCTCGATATCGACGATGCAGTTTTGCATTTTTCGAATCGCGAGATTGATTTCCCCTCGATATTTTCGAGGTATAGATATATTCGAACGAAAATACATGAAATAAAATTGCGCGGATAAATCCTGATTAAGGCGCGCAATTGCTGCGAATATTCGTGGAAAATCTCATTTTTAATTAATAATCATTTTAATCGCGAATTGAACAGCTCTCCGCTTCTGAAGTTGTCAATTTTTATAACGAAATCCGTTTTTGCGCGAGTTTTTAAATAAAAACTTCGTAAAAACATTTTATGATTTTTTAAACGGTCTATTAACAATCTTTTGACTTTTAAATGGACTATTAACAGCCGTACGTGACTGCTATTCCAGCATTATTAACGGCGATTCGGATGGGAAGGATTTAAGTTCAGTGTGTGCCGAGCCGAGAACTAAATATAACTTTCGGACGGATTCGCAAAAACAAGATAATTCCTATCAACGTTGTGCCATTTATCTCGCTATACCTTTGGCTGCTTTTTTTATCGTCGGACTGATGATCAATGGCAATCCCTAAAGCTAACCCAGATCCCCGATCCCTCGACGATTCTGGCTATGCCTAGACAAAAAGCCTCTCGCCAAATAGTAACAGAGTCGAACCTCTAACGAGCAAAATTAATTATGCCTACGATGAAATCAAACTTGAACGTCTTTATATAAAAAATGTTTCTTAAGTTTGAATATGATGACAATTCCTCGTTGGATAAAAAAGTTAAGTGAATTAAAAAATATTAAATTTATAAAATATTTTAAAAAGTAAAGCCTTTTCTTGGCATAGCCATATTTATATCTTCAATTTGAAATCAACGGTGATTTGCAAAAAACATCTCCACGTAAGTGTGTAATATTTCCAGAACGATTCAAAATCCATTATAATAGGATCAATTTTAAAACCATGTCGCCACAATAATCTCCTCTTTGCTTTCACCGTATTTAATTAGCATTATTAAATTTAATTAATTCACCGTAATAATCACCGAAGTATCGTCTGTACCAACATCATTTGATATCAACATCAAATATCTACCGTTTGTTAGAAATACGTGTCGGACAACGGTTCTCTCACAACGGCTCGAGTTGCGATTAGCACAAATGATGTATGCGGCGAGTCCTGTCGCACGCACACGATAACTCCCCGATTTGTTGCGGGGACATGGACATGGACAACGAATAAACCAATAGAACAAGAACTAATGCTATCCCTTGAATTTGTCAAGAGTAGCCTAAACACGAACAGAAATAAAAACACAAAGATAAACAAGTATTGCCAGAAGGAAACTCCCTTATATACGAGTCCATTTACCGATGGATTTGGGGATTCGCTTGCGATCCGGTCTACAGATATCTTACTATCTTTAACAAAGCGACGAAAAATTAGAAACAAAAATAAAAATAAAACAAAGAGATCGCTGTTCGCGGGATCGATTTGCGAGATCCATGCAGCTGTGCCGTGTATACACGCGCGGATCCAATTAATGCCGCACAGTTTCGTAAGAATTCCTGCTCCCCCTGGAGAGTTTCCGAAAGCTTTCGTCGCGGTTACCCCTTCGTACCCTTTCAGCTTCCTCGATCGAAGGGTCTCCCCGCCCCGGGACACCGAGTGCACGTTCTCGAGTACAGGAGCGGTAGTATAGTAGTAAGTGGTAATATAGTAGTAACGGTAATAGTAGTAGTAAACTTGGTAGTACAGTGCTAGTATAGTAGTAATATAGTGGTGAACACAGTGGCCGGAGTGAAGTGTGGAAGTCGAGAGATTTGTCTCGGCGGTGATTTTTTTTTTTTTTTTTCGGCGAGTCGCGGCGTCGAGCTCGACGACGAACAGCAGCGACGAGGACGTGTGCGAGGCCCTCGAGGAGGACGGAGAGAACCAAAGTTCGGAGAACAAGCAATGTCTGAGGTGTTTCCGGTCGCGCCGCTCGCTCTCTGTCGTCGATCGACCTCGTCGACGAACCGGGGGGAGGGAGAGAGGGAGGGAGGGAGAGGAGGCAGAGATAAGGGAATCAAGTGCCAAGTCCTCACTCGTCGCTTCGCGCGCACCTTCGACGTCTCACGGGCTGTCGATCGCGTCCGACAGTAGCGAAATCACGATCGGCCGAATGCGGGTCAGCGCTGCGCTCTCTCTCTCTCTCTCTCTCTCTCTCTCTCTCTCTCTCTCTCTTGCGGCTTATTTGTTTCCCCGGCGAAATTCCACGCGGATTCCACCTCGCGAACCGAATCAAGCCCTTAACTCGCGATTACTTATCTTCTCTTCCGACGCGTTGATCCCTTCGCGCATCGTCTTCAGACGAGCAACGTTATTATTAATCGTTTTCTATCATTTAAGACTGAAGATCTTAAACGAGATTAAATCTTGAATTAGATTAGATCTTAAAGATAGTTTTGAAATGCAATTTGGAGCTAAATGAATATCGTTAAACGATATTCAATAACGTGGAAATGGAAGAGAAAAAATCTTAACATCGCGGGTTAAAGGTTAAACAAGCTTTAAAGTGAATACTTGTTAAGAAAATACTGACTGTTGTTCACACGATTTCTGATACTTTAAAAAATGTTGAAAATATTAAAAATTGTGAGTGAGGTATTTCATGGCATTTTAATTTTTTCTACCGATGTGCCACTTTTTTAATAGATGACCGAAAGACAATTTGTACAATTAAAAATATATAAGTATGAAATATATAAAAAATGTTGCCAAAAATATATTTTTTAACGATTTTTAATGCTCAAAGGATAAAAAAGTTCTTCTCTTCTTTCAATTCGCAATCTCTTCGAAAGAAATCTGAGTGTGTATAATGTCCGAAAATTCAACTATTTAATTTACCCCGCAGGCGAATTATCGTCGTCATTTCGCGTGTCATATGAATAAAACGCCGACCCCCATCCAGCGATCGCGTGGAATAATTACCCCGTCAATCATCGATTAATTATTTAACCCGTTTTGGCCCGAATCGATTACTTCTCTTTGTGCGCCGATTTTTTTCTCGTGACGTGCCGTTAAAACAACATAATACTTCAGCGTATATTCAAACGCGATCTTCGCTTCTCATCACTGAAAATCACGACGTGTGTGACATCTACTATTCACAGACCTACACAGGTTTCAAATCAACTGGGCATTTCGAATATTAAAACACCGGGTCAAAAAACGGGTTAATCCCTCAATGCACACGAGAGGAAATGTCAATGTGCGCGCCGAGAGGAGTTTCCGGTGAGACGTCGGCGCGCGGTCTAGCGAGATCGTATACGGGGGTGCTGAGTCTGGCTGCATGGTTACAGGGGGATGGTAACACTTCCTGTCGCAAACGGGGCTCTCTCTCTTTCTCGACGTTAGTTTGCCACGTGTAGCAAGAAAACATTATTAAGACATACTACTTTCCAGCCCGCTCTTTTTCTTGGCGCAAAGAAAACAACTCCAGATTCACAATGAATACTGACCGGGACGCTGTAGGAGGAGACGAGCGGCCGCGAGTAGGGTCGCCGGGTCGTGTAGAAGTCGCTCTCGTAAACCATGGTGGCTGCTTGCTGGTTCGCTTCTCCAAGTACCGCTAGTTCGTCGGTCGAAAAATCGGGTGCTCGCGATCGGGTGCGCTGACGGATTTTCGATTTCTTCTTTCTTTTTTCTTTTTTTTAATCTCTTCGTGCGCGCGTGCGAAGGGGAAGGATACGCGACGACGATGCGGCCGCGATGGAGGTTCGTACGTGTCTGCTTCCCCGAGAGCGTCGGCACCGCTTCTTCTTCTTCGTCCGGACACTCCTCTCCTCGGGCGTGTGTCCCTCCTCGCCGCGACCGCGTCCACCTCGTCTGCACGCACGTATGACTCCGCGGGAACGAAACGAGAATTGCGTCACTCAGCGCGCGGTTCCCCCGCGCGTCGCTCCTCGAAAGTGCATCCGCGAAAAAAATAGAATCGTGTTAAGGACGTAGCCACCCTCGTCGACGTGGCTCCCCACGAGCGACGTCCGAACTTTAGGAGGCGAGACCACGCGCCAAACGATTCTCAAAAAATTACATTTTTTTGTAGCGATGAAAAGTGTGATATACATAGAAGCGAAACAGAAGGTAACAAAAATTAAGAGTAAAATTAATAAATCCGGAGGATTAATTATGTAAAGAATATAGTCAGATTAAAAATGAGATCTAAAGTGTCGAGGATGATTTTGAAGGCTGAGAGCTAAAATAAAGACTTAAGCACAATTTTGCTGATTGGAAATCTAGCGTTTGGAGTTGCTTATTCTCTCTATCGCATCGAACCATAAATTTTCTTCTTCGATTGATATTCAATTTAACGCGCGTTCTGTTTATAATCCGAAACCCTGCTTTGAGGCCTGATTCGCGGCCAGAAAAATGTATATTTTTAAGAACGGTATTTTTAGAATGAATATACACAGCCTCCACGCATTCTGGAACTGGACAATCGTGTCAAGGTATTCATCGAGACATCCAGAATTCTTTTCGAATACAGGTCGCTACTTATTCCTACCTGTCATGTCAATTTATCCGTGCACTCCATTATTCACAATATTTATATATAACTTCGCTGCTACAAACAACAAGTGTAAGAGATCTCAATATCCATCGCAAAATTGCAGCAGTAAAAAAAAATATACATTGTATATTCTGCAATTTCAACATTAATCTAATAGTTCGCTCTCCAAACTGAAAATATGTAGCGTTATATGTAGCGTGAAGAAGAGATAAATTTCCCAATCGTCTCTTATGATCAATTTTCTGTCATCCAATTCACGTCATTCCCTGAAACGACGAAACGAGCACAATGGAGAATTCGCGAGGAGTGACGATTCCCCCGCGTTTGTTTATTCGCGGCCGTAATGTATACAACGATAAATTCACTTTACATCAGGTATTACATTGGCAGCCCCCCAGGATTTTGCACAATGGTTCCCACACACGTGTTCTCGGGTCCAGTGCCAAAGAATATCCAAACTATGTTCTAATGCCGCGGGGCGGGATCGTCGGATTACCTCGAGATGAGAAAAGCGCGGATCGCGCGAAAATAAAATCGAATCGCGTGACATAGCAATATCGACGCGATCCTCGATGCGAACCCTTCCGTTCTTCTCATTCGACATTATTGTCGAACGGCAAAATTTCGCATCGAGATTTATCGATGCTAGGGAGCTCTCCTCTTGCCCCGTGATCTTGACGGTGCACACAGGACTGCAGAATCCGCGATGAAACATTCGGGCCGAGAATAAACGCAAGCCAAATTCCGAGAATGCAATAAACGATTAAGATACGAGCACGTGAACGGCTGCAATTTTAACAAATCCGCAGGGTGTAATTCACAGCGTTAAAATAATTATATGCAGCTCACTCGAATGTTTGCAGCGATTAGATAATCATACTTTGCGGACTGTCACTCGTGAAAGAGATTTATTCGGCCGACCGCTAGACGAGTGATAAATCGATCAGATATATATATATTTTTTACGACATCTCTCGTGAGTCCAGCATCATAAATCTTGCGGAACGGGGACAAAGACTTCGCTTCGCGTCACCCGAGACAACAAACATTTCTGCGACGATTAGGGGAATGATATATCTCGACCTCACGTGTCACTGTGGCTGTGACTCTATTGTTTGCAGATGACATCGAAATTTAAAGGAATTTTCGAAATTTTCAGGAGACCGACAACGGATTCTTGCATCTAAAGTCCAAGTTTTACATAACAAAAATTATATTCTTATTATATTCAATTCCCATAATTAAAAAACAAGATATCAGATTAGAAACATAAATTGCGAAAAATGTTTATATAGAATTTATATATCTGACAATGAGTAACAAAATAATACAAGTAAAATCATTGATAAATTTCATTTAAATTTTACCCTGATCATCAAAAAATTTATCCCAATTATCTATCTTGAATTCTTAATAATTATCCCTTACTGCTGTATCGTTGCATAAATTTACGAAAGTGTGCATTATATATTAGCATTTTATATATTATCGGTCGCGTGTGTATATACTTTCATAACAGTATTATTAATCCCCGCTTTTGTACATCAGTCTATACAAAATGCTGCATAAAACGGCTAAAACGCGCTTCGTTCGTATGCTTACACAGTAGTGTCGATAAATATATGGCGAACACAGTATATGAAAGAGTTTTAATAACAAAGAAATAAACAACCGTTGCGCAGTTAGCCCTCGCTGGGTCAGTGAACCTTCGGCTTCGCCGACTTCGTTTTCTTCAGCTTCTTCAGACCGCTTACGTTCGTCTTCAAGAGGTTCCAGTACGCCTGTTGGAATTTGTTTACATCCTTGGAATGAATCTGAAAGATGAAAATCAAACGTCTCAGAGAAAGATAGAGAGAGAGGTACGAGCGGCGTTACCAACAGTGTCAACGAAAGATATACGCACAACAGTGGAGATTTTTTTATTACGAAGCGATGCACGAACTAGGCAGAGGTACTCTGTGGGAGTCGGCAAAGGAGGTCTGCCTTTCCTGGGCACCGGTTTATTGTGTCCATTAACTGTGAAACAAAAAAAATTTCTTAATTGCCTTAAATCTCTCAAATACCAAGAAAGGAAGGGAAAAGTAAGGGAAGTTTTCACGAGAAAAGTGTATGTAAATTTAGATCTTTACATCACCCTTTTTTTCTCTGTCTCTCGTCAAAGCTACACAATTCAAGGTTTTAAGGTTAAGAGCTGCTAATTTCCAAATAGTTTAATTAACAGCCCATTTTGGAGCAGGGCATTCGTCACCTTCAAGCTTTGGCGCAACAGATATTTTGAAACGAAAAAAAAAGGGGGATACTCACATCTTTTAATGGTGAGCGACACGGAGCCCGAGAGACGCGACTTGTCAAAGAGTTTGGTTAACTCCGCTAAGAACTGAAACGAAAATTCGCCGGTTAGTCGGTCGTATGTGCGAGAGCAGCGTCGGCGACGAGACGTCGAGTTACCGCGTCGTTCTCCAACAGGACCATTCTGACGATGGTAGCATATGTCAAAAACGCCAGAGCACGTCGAATGTGATCACCCGCTGTTGAGAGGTTAGACGAGGTTAGGAAATGCAGCCGCAGGTTCTTGCTCATGCGACAGGATCGTAAACCACGCGAAATACCTAGATGGTGACCCGCGTATCTAATATTTACGATCTATTTTTTTTTTGCAACTATAAATTAACGAGGACTCGAAAAGTCGCTTAATTTTAGAAAGAAATTTTTGAAGTACCTATTTAAAATTTTTTAAACAAAATTTTAAAATTTATCAAAATCAAAGTACGATTTTGGAAATCGTTAAATTTAAACATCAAAAAATTCATTAGAGATTGTAAATAATTTTATTAATTTTCAAACTTACTTTTGGAACTTAACAGTTTTTTCGCTCTTCAAAATTTTTAATAATCGAATTTAAAAGTTATCAAGCTCCAAAAGTAATTTATTTTGAAAATTAATAAAATTACTTGAAATTCTGTTAAATCCCATTTAATTTAAAAACTAGATCTTATTTAATTTTAAAAATTTCTAATCCTATTTTTCTAATCGGTTTTCCGTTTAGTAGTTTCCGTTTTTCTTTGCCGTACAAAGAAAAAGGTAGAAAATGATTTTGCTCGCGATCGCAGAAATATGTTAAAGTCTAGCATAAGGCGGTCTTCCCTTCTCACTCTCAGTACTTAATGGCCAATGTGGCTGCCACCTCATCGTGATGCTGTGGATGTTATGTGAGAGCGGAACATTCCCTTGGTGACACCGGAACAACGTTTCTGTTTAAGGTGATTGCTCGAGAACGAACGACGAGCGAAAAATGATTCGGGCTCACGTGAGGGCCCTCCTGGCGATTCTGCTGGTCGCCCAGGTTCACGGCATCATGTTCTACCTGGAGCCGAACAGTCATAAGTGTCTGAAGGAGGAGGTCCACGCGAATGTACTTGTCACAGGGGAATACGAGATATCGGAGGCGATGGGTCAGAAGACGAATTTTGTGGTAGGTAGATCCTGATCGACAATTATTCATTCATCCTTCACCGAAATATTCTTCCGTGAGCATTGAGCGTGCTACTTGACGCTGGTCCTTCGCGGTTCCATAACAGCTGTGACAGAACCCACTGTTTACTTCTTGCCTGAAATCGCGTTTAACATTAATTTTACATCAATGACTTTGTTTCTCACAGATTCAGGACTCCAAAGGACATATATTGTCTCAAAAGGAGGATATTCCCTATGGAAAGCTGTTGAAGTTCTCCTTTGTAACGGAAACTTATGATACCTTCGAGATATGCTTTATTTCACGCGTTCCAAGCCGTACGTATGTTTAATTTTTAATTTAGCTTGTTGGATCGTTTTGCCATGGTACAATTTAATTAAGCAACAGAATGGAGAGATATACTTTAAAAATTATGTAAAAGAATATATTCTTATATTAAACATAAGAGTTATATTAATTACAATTTCTTTGGGAAGATGTTATAGGCTAAATTTGATACGAAAATTATTTCAGATCAACGTGGTGTCAAGCAAGAAATTATGCTGATCACGAAACGTGGCATTGAAGCGAAGAGTTACGAAGGCGTAAGTTTACGTGCCATTATACATATTTGTTCCTTAAAAAAAAAAATTTGCTTAATCTATCATATCATCGGGGATTGAAAGAAACTGTCTGACATTACTTTCTTTTTATATGTGGCTTATTTCCGCGGCGCAGTTGGTAAAGTAGAGTTTTTCCGATATTGTGTTCTCGTTGGCATGCATTTTCTCACGAACTTGTGCATTGGCAGTCAGCCCTGGCTGCATTCGGAAACGCTATCCTGAGGATAGTTTCCTATAGTTAGGGCTGGTTGGTTCTACCTTTGGATAAATCATGTAATAATTTACCTAATGGATAAGTTTGTTTGTAAATCCAGTGCTGTTGACTCTGCAGACATTTATCCATTAGATAAATTAGCACGTAGTCAATTCGAAGATGGAACTACTTGTCTTATTTAGAACTCTACCCCCAGGGTAATGTTTCTTTAGAGCTAAGCTATTAGAGCGCAACATAGTTTCATCTGTACATGCTTTTATGCGCGGATGTTCCGTTAATGGGAAGAGCTGTTGGAATTATTTTATTCACGCATTAATTATAATCAGTTGTATTCTCCAATTGAATTTACAGTTATTAAAATAAAATAAAAATCATACCGTACAATTTTTTTTTAAGTATAAAACATTTTTTTAAATAGTTAATGGTACATCCATATATTGCAGCATAACAGCAGCATAACAATGACACATTTTGATGCCGAATATTTTGATTCTTTCTCATTAATACTAAATTGTTCGTTTCTTTTTCAGTAATAATAATATAAAGATATGAAATATGATTCCGTTATATAATATTCTTAAAATTGAAATATTTTTCCTATTACAGTTGGAACATTTTTTTATTTATAAAAGAATTTGAAGAAGCATAGGCTGAAATATTCGGTATCCCTTAAATATTTTTGAGCGAAAGTTGTACGATTTTTTACTTGTGTATGAGACAAGATTTTTTTTAAATAAACGAGAGCTATAGATAAAGAACACTCAGTATAATTAACTGATTTTATCGCTCAAAAATCAGAACCACTGCAATCAGACTTCGTATATCACACTGTCTAATATAATCTTTTTTTGCTCTGTGCAAAACACATACACGCAGAGAAATTATTAATTATTTGGCTTTAATTCTATAATTGTTGCGTTCTTTGTCATTGATTTGTCTCGATTATAACACGCAATACTAACGAGACCGCTGAAGTTTCCGTCGAGAATGTCGTCGCTTTCAAATGAAAATCATCTTCCTCGTTAACAGATCGGCGAAGCAGCCAAGTTGAAACCAGTAGAAGTGGAATTGAAACGGTTGGAAGATTTGTCGGAGGCGATAGTGCAAGATTTTGCCAGAATGCGCAAGAACGAGGAAGAAATGAGAGACACAAACGGTAAAAAGAAGTTAATTTTTATTCCACAGTAAATAGTGGAAAAAATAATTTCGTTAAAAAGATTATAATTTTGAATTACAGTGATAATTCGTTGTCATAATTAAATTGATAATTAAGTAATTCTGAAATGCTTAGTACACTGCTTAATGATCTGGTCTCCTTTTGTGATTTCAGAGGCCACGAATACTCGAGTATTATATTTCAGTTTATTCTCGATATGCGTCCTCTTCGGCTTATCCGCCTGGCAGCTCTTCTACTTCCGACGCTTCTTCAGGATGAAGAAACTCATTGAGTAAATACATTTGTAACAAATAACACGATGTAAAAAATACACCTTTGAGTTTTTCATCCTTGTTATCTGTAATTTCGTAAATTTCAATCGTGGAACACTTTTTACACATTCGTCGCAACGTTCGAAAAGTATTCTTCAAAAGATTATGCAAAAAAAAACGCATTACAATCATATTACCTCATTCAAATTAATGTAAAATATGATAAGACCTCATCTAGCTACACATCGCGTATTATACATCACATTATCGAGAACTCATTATTTAAGCAATTGTAAGATAGAAAATTTCTTAAATAAAAGCATACCTCGATGGTGAGATAAATGGATCTTCAAAGTCTCTCATTACCTAAGAAGGATATGTTAATATATTATGTATAAAATCACTTGTCTCAATATTAAAATGTCTAATGTTATAAAATCACTTGTCTTAATATTAAAATGTTTAATGTATGTTCTTTTTATGTACTTATAAAGGCTGCGATATATTTTTGATGATATATAGTTTAATGATTGTATAAAATAATGCGTTTTATCATTGTTTTAACATTTTATTTATAAAATAGAACAACTTTGTGGGAACACACAATAAATGGCCTAAAAAAATACAATGAAGAAACATTACATTGGAAGACGATTTATTTGTCGCTGATTCGAAGGCGGACGCCTTCGGGATTGTGTCTTTGCGGTTTAAACAGTTATCCGTTTGTACATGCGGTCTTGAAGAATATTTAACTTTGTCTATTGTAAATGCTCTTACTCTTTCATTTTTAGAACCTGAAATTAATGGCACACACGCGAGATGAACACAGAAATTTTTAAGCGTGATTTTACGTTCTCTTAATGCTACGATAATTTCATTTTTAAAACACCTAATGTCCTAATATTTTTGTGTGTGAATACACTATTATCTATAAATGGACGCCATGATTAAACGAGGTTTTCATAAATAATTGTACATCCTAATGAAACGTTTATCGTTTTTCGAAAAAATTATATATGTATATTCGAAAATATAATATATATATATATATATAGGAAAATATAATATAAATCTAAATATGAATTAAATAACTTTGTTTTTTTATCACAAGGTGGACAATTAATAAAAATAGAGTTCCACGTGAATGACAATGATTCAAGCTAGGCACATTGTAGATACAGTACACAAGAAACAGTAAGCTTGCGGTAATAAAATCACATATAACGCAATATTACGACCGTTATCTATAATGATCAATTTAATCCGGTGATTATATTAGAGCAGACACTATTCGATAATCACTAATAATGTCACAATAATAGAGTTGGAATTTGAAACAGTCGTTTCTATATTACATATTAATACATTTATTTATTACCGCAATAAAGCTATAACTCGAATTTTCACTGTCATTACGCTTATCACTTTTAATTACTACGTTTCTCGTCTATCGCAGTAGTATCTGCGCTAACCCGATAACAATTTGTATAGACTCATGGCTACGTGTTTACGCATAACGTATACTAAACTGGACATTATGCAACAATGAATTCGCTTTAACGCTCTAAAAAAATTTATATTCTCGGATACCATTCATTAACGATGTTTCAAAATACGGGAATTCAAGAAGATATATACATGTATAGAAAATGATAAAAGTTTAAATTGTAGATTATTGTCGATTGTTGTTATAGATTAAAAACGTATAATTTCGCAATATTTCTATAAAATGTTTTAATTATTATCCTGTTACGATATCCTCGCTTTCTCACTGATTTTCAGAGTTAATTCATTACTGCATAATACCACCTCTAAATTACTACCGTTTACCTGAGATTAAAGAGTTCCACTAACAACAGGATCGAGAATTTTCCGACGATCTTTCCGACGATGCTATTCCTCGCCGTTTTGTACATATATTTGTTAGACCACTTTGTTTCTACATCTAATAGCAACGACAACAAAAATATATCTTTAGACATATATATATATATATAGCTTTCTCTCTTATCTTTTCTTAAAGCCAATCGTACCATTGTCTATTTACACCGAATTTTTCAGTAAATTCGGCTGTCAATTTTTCCATAAAAATATTGGTCTATTATATTCGAAACTTCTACAAACTCTCAATATTAGGCATCTCGGCACTTAGGCGCACTAAATCTCTATCTATTAAAGTAAAAGTCTGAAAGTTCTACGAGAAGTAAACGCTTTTCAATACTGTCTGACTATTTTTTTTTTTTGTAGGGACTCTATTAATCAATTTAGTTTCGAAAAAGTTATACCTTCTTCGAATACACACGTGGCTCAGAGGAACAATATTTCCGGCACACGGGATATATTCGGGGATATAAGTCCAAACTGGACTGGAATAACGGGTTATGAGGAGTATTGTCGAGGCGAAAACTACTCGTTCCAACCACAGAAGCTCCGAAGGCTCGTTGTTGGCGCACGTTACTGGCTCGGCGACTGCCGTTCGAAATGTCAAGCCTTCGCATTCTGACGCTTCATGTCGTTCGGTATCAAAGTCGTGAGCAAAACGCCAACTGCGAGGACGACGCACAGCGCGACGTTTGCCCACAAATCACCCCATATGTTGAGCAGGCAGCGATAGAGCGGGGTGAAGGCGATGCCGAAGATCTGCACGACCGCGTTCAGCAGACCCGTCGACGTGCCTTCCGGCTCCGGGAACGTGAGCTCCGCGGCGAGCTCGAAACCGACCGGTAGGTAGCCAGTCATGAAAAAGCTAAAAAATATATAATATTGTAATAAATAATACAGATAAATAAAATTTCAAGATAGTCTGAAGCCAAAAATGCTTCATTATGCTTTTAGAGACTGTGAATTTTTTTAAAAAGGCTAAAATAAATTTTAACGGAGAGAAATCTTTTAACAGAATTCAAAGTGTAAAACGTCTAATAGCAAACTCAAACTAGAATAGTAGAATTAAACGTGACATAAGTCAATAGAGTATCTCAAAAAGTTTTGCGTCTAACAAAATTAATCTAGACTTTACCCCAGAATGCCAGCCGTGATGTAAACAACGAATATTCCCACATTCTTGTCCAATGTAAAGGTGAAGATTATCATACCAACCAATGACATAATATACACTCCTACCGTTGTCCACCTGTAAATTCGTATTTTCAACGTATTTCAGTCGCATACATTTGCATCCATTAAATAAATCGAGAAATTGATTCAAAACAACTTGATATAATATTTAATAGAAATCAAACCTCTCTCTAATCGTAATTGTAATGATATAATAATTATTATAATTCCAGTTTAATTTGCTGGTTTATGTGAGAAAAGAAACAAATTAATTTATCAAATTACTACCGCTAAATTACTACTACGTTAAAGTAAAATTCCACGATTCGACATTATTCCGTAAAATAATGATCCGATTACTCACCAGAACTTGTGTGTTTTGTCCAATAAAATACCGCACACAATGGAGCCCATCATGCCAGCGCAAACTATAGTTAAGCCGATTCGACCAGCGTCCTCTTCACCATCCTAAAAAAAAAAGAGGCAACCGCTACCTGTTAATTCTTCTCATTATGCAGAGATATAATTGAGAAGCTGAAGCTATTTGCAAATAGTGAAGAAAAAATACAAACTTTTGTAAGAAGTTTCACGTACATCGATAATTATAATAAATACAATAATATTCATAATTGCTGAAAAGCGAGTCGGGAATCGAGAAGAGAGTACGCGCAACCATTGAATGAAGTGCTTACCTGAAACTGTTTCGTGACGAGTCGATTCAGGAGAGTGCTTATAGCGTAAAAGGTGCCGACGTTGATGCCGTAGCTGACTAAAAGTAACAGATAACCGCGATTCGAGAACAGCCTTTTGATGGAGTCAAAAAATTTCTTCACTTCCCCGGTGCTCTCGGACTTCTTCTTTCTTTGCACAGCTTGAGCTGCACTAGGTGGTAAAGGCGGTGCCGACTTGAAAACTACAAATTATCGGTTTCTATTATAAGAGCGAAAGAAAGAAATGGAAGATACGGCCGCTTAACGACACAATCCCGGAATTGATTAAATAAATTTCGACTTGCAAAACCGATTCCCTGTTCATGAAAAATATACATATAGATATGCATATACTTTCTTTGATACTTTACTAATAGCAATCAAATTACTAATAACATAATAATAGCATGATACATATATAAAATATAAAACATATGAAATAATCTTTTTTTATATAAAATTTTGCAGGAAGAATATTGTCCCTGTTTAATAATTTTTTATTAAATAATTTCTATTCAATAATTTTCCTTCATTCTTAGTCTTCAATTTTATAATTTTTTTTTGTGATAAGTATTTAGAGCCAAATGTCAATTATCTTCATTTGCATGTATAATAATAAGTCATATAATATATTTTTTTAATCTTTTAACTTCGGATTGCGAGATTACATAATCAGATAAAAATTATATATACATACGGATTAATATAAGAATTAGCGTGATCGTCGTGAGAGCCGCAACGGAGTAGAACATACGTTGAAGCCCCCTTTCGATATCGTAGTTCTCCTTATTTTGTACTAACATCGGTGGGAATAAGAAACCAATGGCTATTCCCAACTATAACAGAAATCCGAATGACGAACGCTCTAGAGAAATTGTCGTCGAGCTTCAGGAAAGAGGCAGAAAAAAAATATTTGCTGTGTAGATCTCTCTCAATTACGATATACGTGGCAATATCTGCTTTGAAAGCAGAATGTACTATTGTATGCTTATATCAAACAAATTACTGTCCATATGTATCTTTACAAGTCGTTACCGAAATATTTGTATTATGCATCTTTTTAATAATTGCAAAAATCTTATATTAGAAATTAAAAGCATTAGAGAAACAAAAAAGACGTGGGACCAGATATATGCTTTTCTCTTTTCTGAAAATTCTGACGTCAGCGTGACGCGCTGGGATTTTCAATTACAGACTCGCGGTCGCGATTGTAAAGATGCGTGCACGCTAATATCGAGCCGAAAACCGAGCATGCGTCCACATTATCGAATCGAACCTCTGCGGAAGTTCCGCTGGAGGCGGTTCGCCTCCCAATAATTTGGACGCACCTTTAAAGCGCATCGGATTGAGCTTCCGTTTTATCGTGTTGCGAAATCGGTGTGCAATTAAGGCGCGACGGATTCCCCGATAAAGCGCGACCGCGACGGCTGATAAAATGATAGCGCGACGGCACAGCCCGCGGCACCTTGGATTAATTGAATCCCTCCGCGGCGTAGAGTGAATCTCCCTCCCTCCCTCCCTCATCTCCCCTACCATCCTGTTGTCAGTCCGCTCCTCCCCATGGACGATGCTACGGTCGTTCGTCTGTTCGAGGTAGCGAAATTAAACGTGGGTGCCCACTTCGACTCGGTTTCCCACCTAATCACGTCGCAATTTATATCTCCCGAGGCACCCTCTCGTCGATCAGAGCGAGTACTCCAGACTGTCACTTCCGTTGTTCCGCGCGCGGGACATCCATTCTCATTGTCCCGCACGCACGTGACACGTGTCGCCCGGTGACAATGCCGAGTACCTGTTCTTGCGTTTTTTTTTTAAATAAGTGTCACCGCTCATCGACGTTCGGCGATGTGCGGTGTCGCGGAAAATCGGGCCTTATCTAATAATAATAGCGGGTATTCAACTTCGAGGAAAACGAGCTTGCGCGAAGATTCTTCAGAAATTTCCAAGGCAATGACATTTCGATTAAAATTGCATAGAAATTAGATAAAGTTAAATTATTCATTTAGGTAAAGAATTCGATGAAAAAGTTTAATTTTTCAGTAAATTATGAAAATATGAATTTTTCGAAATAATGTGAAATTAAATCAGATTGCATTATACGTTCGATAAAAATGGAAATTTGTTGTACGCAGATATGCAATGAATTCGGAAGTTAATTTAATGAGAGAGAGAGAGAGAGAGAGAGAGAGAGAGAGATGTGGGATATTATCATTTCAAGATACTATAATTTTATTTCATACGATAATTAGAATTATTAGTAATCTGTATTTGTGTGCACGAGGAAAGAGAGGTACAAGATATTTAATTAGCGTCGCGGGCGTAAAGAGCGTCGAATTTGTTTGACTTATTATCGAATTACGATGCTACATTATCTCGCACTTTGATCCGGGTAATTAGAGCGACTTTATTACGTGGATTAATCAATTTGCAAGTTTAGCACGTTGTGGGCGGGTGATGTGTTACCTTTTGTTTCTTTCTCGTATAACCTCACGAAGATATTTCCGCGAAGATAACACATAGTAGACGCAAAATGCATAGCAATGCAAAATTAAATTCTCACGCTACTCAAAAAGCAGAAGATATATTACTCATCACTTACGCTTCACGTTGCTTATACATTTTTTTTTTCGTTTCTTATGTATTCTTTTTTAAGAAAATTCTTGATTTTCTAAGAGAAACTTTGAAAATAAAATAATTCACCTGAACTTTTAATTCGAAATAAATGTCAAGTCTGATTGACAAAAGAAATAAATTCGAGAGAGGACATGAGGAAATTAGATCGAAATTCTCAAGACCAGAGTTTGAATATAAATTTTATCCTGGATATACTCGCGTCATCAATTCTCTACACGCAGGTGTTAGAGGACTGATGACGCGCAACACCTGCGTGTAGAGGATTGACGACGCACAAAGATATTTCCTTACCTGGTTACCGAAGACACCGATACCGCACGCTCGACTGACTTCGTTGTCCCCGAACCATACCGCGGCCAGTCGAGCTGGAACGGACAGAATGCAAGTTTGGCTGATGGCCACCACCGTTTGACCGACGAACGTGACCCAGAAGAGATTGGGGTCTATGCTTAACACCTTTATCCAGGAGCCGAGAGCGGTCCCGAGCGCGCCGACGATCACCGTACACCTGAGGCCCTAAAATCCCCTCAAATATGTTCATCTGTTCAGATATTAATTAGCCGGAATATCCACGACTGTGTGCAATAAAGTATTGATTGTTCGGGAATCATTAAAAAAAAAAAGATTCTAAGAAGGAGGATGTTTCTCGATATTCGGGACTCTTGCTTCATCGTCTGTGTTTTTAGATTACGCGAAATCCGACTATCTCGCTGATTGTGAGACATCAGCTGACGTCGACAATGCATATCCGTTATTCGACGGCAAACGTAAAAGTGTCTAATAAACAGAACGGGATACGTTATATCGTTCAGTGGCGTTCAGATAAGATGCTGTACGCGCGTTGCGTGAACAAAAATTCTCAATGAATCACGCGATCTCTGCTTGCCATTGTGATTCGCCACAAAAATTTACAAAAGCCAAGAGGTTCGGACTTTTCCGAAGACGATCTTCCCGGGTAATTTTGAAAATCGAGTACGTAAAGAAAATTCGTAGCTAAGGAAACGCATCCCGAGATATCGTTCGCGGACTTTACACGCTGTTTCATTTTACTCTGTTCTATAATCTGTTCTATTAACTGTTACTTACGAAGGCATCAAGCAGGTAACTGGCGGGAAATATCAACGGTATGTACGTTATCATGTATATCATGCTCGTCATGTCCACCGTATAATCCGAAACTCCGTAATACTTCGTCACAATGTTTGTAATGATGCTGTATTCGATCCACTGCATGGAGTTGCTGGCGCTGTACACCACGAAGAGTATGAGGATCAGCCATCGTTTCTTGTAGACCTTGATCTCCTGCAATCAGGAAGGTGCATTCTCGATCTTTCAGTTTCTTCAACCGAAAATGTCGAAATGTTGCGCAATTTTAATTATCCTCGGTCTCTCGCTCGCTATACTTCATCGGTTGAAGGAACGAAGACTGAGGATATTAAATCCCGGCTATATTATGTATTGAAAGTGACGCTAAATTACGTACATATTGGATTAATATGCGCTATTAGCGATAAAAGCGAACATCAAAGCGCTTCTTAATGCAATTTCACGTAAAAGTTGCAATATTGACTTTAATTCGCCGCCGGTTCTCGTAACGTTATCTCTCTGAGAACAAAAGTCCATTAACTTTTTCGAAATATCGATCTTACAGAAGGTAATGCATGATTCGTTGCTTCGGTAATCCAGGATTGGAATGACAAGACCGCTAAAAATATCGCGTAAAACTCGAAGCGAAGACTGTTTCCTCGATATCCAATATCCTTCCTGCGTTTCTTCTCGCAATCGCGTCCGCGACTCTTATTCATTCGACGATTTAAATTATTCACCTGCGCCGGTTGCGTGCTGCAATCCTCGAGGGACGTGGATCCGTTCATTTCAACTAATAGAGGTGTCCGTTTACAACTTCCGTCAAGCTTTCGTGCCGAGCTTCGTCACTAATATCGACTAGCATTAACGAGATTGATTAAATCGAGCAGAAGTGTCATCGGGAGAGGCGGACCAAGGCAGAGTCCTTCAATATTTTATCGAGGCCGCTTTACTTCCTAAAATCCAAAAAAACGTCGATCTCATTTCTTCCACCTCTCGGACCTCCGACGGAAGCAAAAATCGAAGTGTCAATGTCAGAAGCATTTAAAATGTCGAGCGTGCGAAGTAATGTCGATATTCGAAGCCGTTTGTAAACGTTTCTGTTTCCAAGAAGAATTTCTAAGAAAAAGGAGAAGAAGAATTTCTACAAGTGCTTCTGCCGCGTTAATTGCGCCGTATGGAAGCGTCATTGCGAAATTATATCGGGAATCAATTTACCCATTTGCAGATTCCATTTGTGGATTCGCGAGAAACTTATCGTACACAGATTACAGCGGGTTCGTATTGCACTGGTAATTAGGACTTAATAATCTGAAATATGCTGCTTCGATCTAATAATCATCTCGCAGGAATGCAACTGCGTATACGCGAGCGTGGGCGGTTTGAGTGCGGCTAATTAGACGCGCATTTGATAACATCAAGATTCGATTGAATAAATCGAAACAGCGATATTTACGCACAGTACCAAATGTATTGATATTAGGAGTCAAATCGGATTTTCATTGCTCGTCTCGCTAGACATTTTTGATCCCAATTAAGTCTGCAACTAATTTTCATTCGCTACTATATTAGAAATTTAATCGTATCACTTGATATTCCACACGAGAACTGCGATAAGATTACGCGTTGATGAACCGCACAAAATTATACTAGAGTATAATAAGTAAATAAGGGATTGATTAACAATAAATAATTGCCATTAATTTCAAAACTCGAAGAAACAAAATTCGAAGAAATAACAATTCGAGTAAAAGATAAGTTTTACTTCACTGAAATCTCTTCCTTAAAATACTTTTTTTTTTAATCAACATGCTGTAATATTAATTTGAATGTTATCAATTCCAAATATTAAATTATATGTTTTATATCAATATATCTTTATATCAAAATATATAAAATAAAAAATGTAATATAACAAGTGTTTTAAAATATCTTCGGGTATTCAGATATGCAGCATAATTTAATATCTTCACTTATGTGTTATATGTTAATATTTATCGTATAAAGTAGAATTAATTATTGAATAATAATAATGAAATAAAATATTAGAATATTTTTATTATATTATTATCACTGTAAGTAAATATTAATTTCTCTTAATGATTAATTGAAATAATGTTAAAGAATGATTAAAATAAAAAGAGAATATTGGATATAATACTTGATAAAAACTTTATAATATGAAATCGAAGAACGAAATCGTTATATATAGCTATATAAGGTGTATGAACAATTTCAGGATCAGTATTCATTAGTACGTTGACAGCATTCTTTTCTACGACAAATTTCATAAATTAAATCCTAGATCGTTTATTTACGATTGGATGTGAACAATATTATAAATCTCGGCATACAACACGTTATAAATATATAAACTCCAGTGCAACAAGTTCTACCGAAATCGTCGTGCTACCTTACACACGTTTATCCCGACCCCCTTGTAGCAAGCACGCATGAATCAAAGTCAAGTGATTCTCGATTACTTTACCGGGACGAGTGACTGGTATGACCGCGTCAATTCACGATCGTATCTTCGTCACGCCGCACATCGTGAATCTCCCGCGGCGCGCGTCTCCAACTTCGCGAATGATTTTTCCGGTAAAGGCGGCAAAGGCGGCAAGATTACATCGGCCCGTCACACCTCGTCGCCGGGTTATCCCCCGATAACGCGGACGATAAAATAACGCGGAGCGGTTCGCGCGCTGTCACGATGCGCCGGACGTGGACTAAGCGTATCGCGGGACCCGCGAGAGCATCCAGCCTTCCACCGTTCACCAAACGTCCCTTGTCCATCGCGTATCCCCCCCCCCCCACTCCCTGCCCATCTCCACCCCTCCCCCCTCCGCCCACATCGCGTAGTCACGCACGTGAAAATATTTGCGCACACAGCCATGCCACACGCGCTGCCCGTCCGTGCACGCGGACGAGTGTTACGCGCGCGCCCATCAATGACGGTATATCAGTTGACGAATGCGCCGTCGCAATGCTAGTCGTTCATGGGCACCCGACGGAACATCGCCGACGGCGATCATCTCGCCGTATCAGACGCGGAAAAGACGCTCGGCGGGAGCGTCTTCTCTCGCGCGAAACCGTGCGAAGTGTGGGCATGAGGCCAGGATTTCGCAAAACTCGTCGACGCCGGCCCGACGCGGCGCGCGTCGCGTCGGTTCTCCGGCGATGTAATTTTGAGGAATAACGCGTTAAGACCTAGAGAGAGAATCGAGTTAGAGAAATTAAGGCCTATGAAACCTTCGTCTTCTTCCTGTGTTCAATTGTGAGAAACGTCAAATTCCAAGTTATCCAAATCCCGGGCCTCTTGAGAATCGTTTGCGAGGATCTGCGAGATTAACGTTTTTTTCGAAATTCCTGTATGTTTAATGAGATTTATGGAAATCTCTCTGTATGTTTTAATGATCCGAATACATTTGTCTTTATGTAATTAAAATTGCATCGAATAAAGCGGTTTATCTCAAGAGAGAGAATAAATGTTGTTTTAATCGTCGCGTGGCAATGAACTTTTTATGCGATGCGTGCAGCAGCAGCGGCATTTGCATAATCCTATACGCGCCGTGACGTTACGGAATTATTAAATGATGACAACGACAGCGTATTTTTTTTTATTCCCAATCGAGTTAGTGAATGAATGTCAATTTTATCATGTAAAAATTTCCATCGAGAAATTTTCTGTCGAATAAGGCTCAATCCGGCACGGCACGATCAACGGCCGCGTGATTAGATAAACAAAATTCCATTCGACGTCAAATATGTTAATTTTATACGCGGATAAACGAATGAATCACCGCGAAAAGGACATCCAAAGAAACACGCGTATAAATCTCTCACTGTTATCTTGCGATGACCCGATTTCTTTCCAATACATACGACTTTTTACGCTCGTAAAGATACACCTATATATCACTAACAACGTTTCGAAATCACGATCAAATAGCAAGAGAGATGCGTCAAAACTTCTTGCTAACTTATTTAATAATAACTTGAGTACGATGAAATTGCCGCAGGAAATGAAACGAAACAATAAATGAGAGTGCAAGGATAGCAAATAAAAGGCGAGGCAGCTGCAGCTGATACACCAATTCGGCATCTAATTCGAAAGCACGCCAATTAAATTTAAATATTAATTAAGTTTTACAATTAATCTTGTTAGCTTAATGTATTTAATTTAACTGACCTGTACATTAACGAGAATATTTCCATTAAATTTGCAACTGTCTGCTTAGTACTTTATTGTGACAAAATGTTAAATGTTAAACGACCACGCAATTAATATGACGGAATTTCCTTAAATAACTGCTGTCCCCAACAAGCTGCTGACACACTGGCGAACTTCGGTATTCAGTCGCATTTTTGTGAAACATCAGTAAAAGTCGCGAATGCGATAACCAATAACAGTAGCCAGAAGCACTATGAGCAAACCGCTGTCTTATCAGCTAGCCGCATGCAAGCGCGCAAGATAACAATATGCGTATACATTTCAGCCAAAGTCGTCGCTTCGAGTTTCGCAGGCTAAAAAGCGGCCTTGTTTTATGCTAGTACCGTGGGTATTCTATTCGCGCGAACATAACGTTATATATTATACGAATGCTCTGAGAGACAAGCGCTTTTCGTTGCTTCGGAGTGAAATCGGTATAAATGAGTTCCCGAGGCGAGTTCTACATAAGAAATTAATTATCACACAGTTCTTACGCTTCTGATATCCGCCTCTGATTATTTTGCGTCATTATTTTATTTAATATATTCCATGTCGCATTATAATTTCAATTATACGTCCATTTTAATGAATTAGAAAGTAGAATGTATATAGCACGGCCGTGAGAGATCCAGTTTTCTGCTTTATCGGGCACTGAACTCGCATCCGAGATATACCGATTTCAGTTTCCTCCAGCAGCTTTTCACGTTTCTCACCTGCGGGAGAAAACCAACTAGGGCAGCATGGGTTTCCATTGTTTCTGGATTCCCTCTTTAACTTTCGTTACTCACTAACTTCCGCACTCTAAAATTCACTTGAAGCGCAAATTCAGTTTCAACTAATTCAATTATAGGAAGACAAACGGTCGTTTAGACTGTTTAATTAGAAGCAAATTGATTTCAATGGCCGATTCCGATGGCGATTACTTTCCGTCGGACGTTCGTCGACCTCCGTTTACTTCTCGATCTCAGCAAAAAAAAATCAGTGTGCACGCGAAAAACGACCGTCACGACTGAAGAGAGCGATCTTCTCTCTCTCTCTCTCTCTCTCTCTCTCTTCTCTCTCCGCTTTGACGCGTTGTGCACAGTAAAATACGGCGAGGCGGAGAGTCACGTTTCCGGTGTTAAGCGCGGAATGTGAATAACTAAATCAAGTCTTCGGGCGACGGAGTTAGGCAAGCAATGAAGCTGGCGATATCGCTTCGCGTGAAGACGGTAAGGGAGAGGACACATGATAATTTTTTATCGCACAATTAATAAAAACGTCATGCATACATTCGACGAACACAGACATTGTATACAGGCGAAACGAACGTGCGGAGAGTGAATGCGATAACGGGGCGTATTACGTCTTCCTCCCGTTTCTTTCTCTATGATGAAGCGTTCATTCGTGTAACTATGTTAAGATGCTTTAATGCCAGACGACTCTACTAAGTGATTAAAACAGATAATGAGCGAACTGTCTGCGCCGCGTAAAATTTATTCTTGTAATTGAGTAACACTCGTTACAATTCATTTGTTAACGAACTCTTCCAAGATTGAAATGCACGTTTTTTTATTACGCGCGCGTAGTTTCACATAATTAATTATTTAATTAATAGAGAAATAAAATGCGATAGTTATGAACATATTATATGCTTTAATTAGTATTATTTAGACAGAGAAATATATATGTGTGCGCGCATGAGTAAGTTCCATTAAAAATATTAATTATTTACGAAATAAAAAAAATTATTAACAAGGACGCGAGTTGCATCGAGAAGCATTGTGTAAACAACTAACAAGACATCTATCAAATAATCTCATCCCGAGATAACATGCTATTATCACGTGAACTCGTTATACGAACGATCTGGTAATACGATGATACGATATTTTTGCGTTTACAATAGCACATTTATCACGAATATCATTTTATATTTCAAGCACAACTTCAGCCGGCAACACAAATATCATGTAGATATATATAGAAAAGTAAAGAGTGACATATTATGGTAATACCTGTCATTAGCAAATGAATATAATCGTATTCACTTTCATGACAAAAAGACGCGACATAACGATTCTGTCTTCACTGGACAACGTTTAGACGTTTTAAAGAAACGATAACAATTTTAGAGGCCAAGTTTTTTTCTCCAATCTATAATTGCTCAAAATTAGCAACTCATGGTTTGGATAAAAAAGAAAACAATAGTACAACTCTAAAAAAATATTACGTGCTCCTAGCAAAAGTAATTTAAAAAAAAAACAATGGTACAACTCTTAAAAAATATTACATCCTCCTAGCAAAAGTAATTAAAAGTATCTGATAAAGAAGAAATTTTTTAAACATGATGACGTCTTGATAAGTGAAGTATATCCTTGAAAGTCGTATCATTTTCAGGTCAAGCATACGTAGATAACTGTTACGTAAATATTATTTAATGTTTAAGGGGTTTAAGCTTACTCAAAAGGTAACGATGTACTGAAAGTACGAAAATATCTTCAATACGCTTTTAACAGCACGAAACTTAATTCAATGAGTTCCATAAATGATTAAATATTCAACTGCATCTGAGCGCAGCATAAGCTTGATATGCGTCGCATTCGCCAATGATTAACAACCAAGATATTCTATATTAAATCATCGATAACTAATTTTTAATTTATAGAATTAAAAATTAGAAGAGCCTGTTCTTTTATTTAATCCCTTATATTACTCTTCCCGTCATCTTATATACGAGAAGCCGTATACAAGATGCGCGTCTGTTTTGTAGTAACACACAATCGTCACTAATATATACATATATCGTTTAAGGAAAAGTTGATTGGGTTGAATTGAGATCATGAGAGTAAGTGTTAACCTTTAAACCACTATATCGGTCTCTGCACAGACCGCTATTGAAACGTTACTTGTTAACCATTTTCTTATTTGTCACCATTTAAATATATTTTATTTCTATTGTGTACGAGATTTTTTTTGTTAGCCCTCACATTAAAACATAGTTTTCTTTCCCCCCATCACAAATATTCAGAAAACATACATTTTTATTATACATAACTTATAAAATTAGCGAGAGCATAATAGCGGTCTGTCAGGCATTGTGTTTAGTGTGATTTTTTTGGGACATGGTGGTTTAAAGGTTAAATTGACCCGAGCCGACAAAGTAATATGAAAAAAAAACTCTGATCCGAAATCAAAACGCCGAAATTTCTCCGATATTATGTCACACCCTTCTGCTGCTCAATATTGCGTGTCAATATTGTATATGTACACGTGTATATTGTATTATATGTGTTATATATATTTGTGTAAGCCGTTCGCATAATTGTATCGTATCTGACTGTCGTGAGATCATATACGCAACAGCGTCTCTGCACGTCTGACGGCTGATGAGCGCAAACGTCGACGAAAATGACATGTTTAGGGTCCCGAAATGAGGTGTCGCGCCACGCGCGGGCGCCTAGGGGCCTCGGCAGGTGGAAACGCGTCACTGAAACTCACGTGCTTCCCGCGTCACCGAGAAACAATTGTCG